CAAGGTCCTTGCCATCAAACAAGCTGAAACAGACAACCCTCAAGTCCTCTCTCTGTAGCTGGCCCTCCTGCCTCAAACACTCAGAGTTTGCCCTGGCAGGATGGCCCAGAAAGCCGGCATCTTAAAACAGCCAGTTTTTTCCTGTTGCTGAGTCAGGACAATTTCTTTGCAGTACACAACCCACAAACAGCAAAATGCTGTCTTAAATTCTCTCTCTGTCCTTTTTAAGCCCTCTCAGGTTTTACGTGGAGTTCATTAGCACGTTGGGTGCCACTCTGTTGTAATAGGAGCGGCGGGGCTGCGTCCCCAGCACCCGGCTGCCTGCTAGCTTATGCCCCAAAATAATTACACAGACACTGTATTCTTTTAAACACTGCTTGGCCCATTAACTCTAGCCATTACAGGCTAATTATCAAACCCCAATCAACCCATCTCTAATAATCTGTGTAGTGTCAGTCTTACTAGGAAAATTCTAGCCTACATCCATCCTGGGTCGGAGCTTCATCGCGAGTGCCTCAGAGAGCAGAGCTATCACGTCTACCCGGGAGACGGGAGCATGGCGTTTCTGCTCCAGAGAGCAGAGCTGTCAAGTCTGAGCTCACTTCCTCTTCCTCCCAGCATCCTGTTGTGTTTACTTATTCTAGCTATGTTTTAACCTATCAGGGCCAAGCAGTTTCTTTATTGCTTAACCAATGAAATCAACAGATTGATATATGACACTCCCACATCAACTAGTGACAAGTTGGTCTGGTTTCCCAGCAGGTAGAACAAGAGGACTCTGGCAAAGGCCCCGTAGTACCATGCCCTTCACTGTTGGGGTGCAGGGGGCGGGGGTGACCGTCCCTAAGAGCAGTGAGGCAGAACTCCAGAAAAGCACAGGCAGTGAGGGGCAGAGGAAATGGGGCTTAGTGAATGAAGTACTTGTCACACAGACTCAGGAACCTGGTTGGTGGCACAGGCTTGTAATCCCATGGCATGGAAAACAGACATGGGTTCCCTGAGACCTGCTGGCCAGCCAATCCAACCTAAATGTTGGATTCAAAGTCAGCAGGAGATCCTGTCATAAAACAACAACAAAGTAGACAGCACCCGAGGAATAACACCCAGGTTTGAACTCTGGCTTCCGCCTACACATGAGTGCACACAATACACACATGCATGCACACACATACACACATGCACAAAACACCCTTTGACAGTGAATTGATAAAAACCACCACCACCAAAAAAAAAAAGTAGCCAGTATCTGTCAAAAACAAGTTAGGGATGGTCCAGGATGGGGAGGAGCTAGGAGCAAACCGTGAATAGGTGATGCTCTGATGGTCTCTGAGGGAAACTTAGATCCATTTCTCCAGGCAGCAAGTGAGAAAAGGGACAGCGATTGATCACATAGATCTTTCTTGTTAGGGGGAGGGTCCTCTCTAGGTTCCTGGGAATCCAAACTATCCTAACTCTTGATTCTTTTTTTTAATATTTATTTATTTATTATGTACACAGTATTCTGTGTGACTATATGCTTGCTGGCCAGAAGATGGCACTAGATCGCATTACAGATGGTTGTGAGCCACCATGTGGTTGCTGGAAATTGAACTCAGGACCTCTGGAAGAGCAGTCAGTGCTCTTAACCTCTGAACCATCTCTCCAGCCCCTAACTCTTGGTTCTTAAAGAACTTTCTAATGTGTAACTTTATGAACCTGGGCTCTAGAGGGATATGTGCCCTTCCAAAGAGCTCCATGGAAGCTAAGCCGGCACCTTGGGTCTGCTTCAGATAGCTTATTATGAAGAAAGTCAGATGCACAGTGCAGACATTCTGCAGGGAGCTTGCATGCTTCATTTTTGATGATTTTCCAAGCTTTATTCAGGTCTATATTTATTTAAATGTGTGAAAGTTTTGCCTCCATGTATGTGTGTATTTATGTATGCATGTGTACCACATGTGTGCCTGGTACTCCACAGAAAAGGGCATTGGATTCCCTGGAACTGGTGTTGGAACTGGATGGTTGTGAGCCTCCTTATGGGCGCTGGGCACCGAACCCAGGTTCTCTGCAAGAGCAAGAAGTGTTCTTAACAGTGGACTGAGCCATATCTCCGGCCTCTGAGTTATAATTTTAAAAGGAGAACAACCAAAAAATCATTTTCTCTGACTCTAGAAGTCATTCCCCACCGTCTGAGCCAGGTTCTGCCTTACTCTGGACCAAAGGGCTAGATTGATACGTACTTCCAAAGCTAGGCATTGCAGCTGGGACAACTCTGTGTTTAGAGTCAGCCAATCACGATCTATTTCTACTCCCTGTAGTTTTTTTTTTCATTGCCATTCGAGCCAGACTCCCACAGGAATTTTCTATCACTTTGCCAATGCCCTGGGGGAGGCCTGCTGTGTTCTGTGTCGGGCAGCAAGGAGCCCTGCAGAACTACGATCTGTCACTACTGGCTGTGTGATTCAAAAAAAAAGTGACCCCACTTAGTCTGCCTGTCACAAACGTTGTCGCCACAGCATTAAACAAAGAGGAAGACTTGGATCTGGCTTGATGCCTTTGCTCTATTAGGCTCCGAGTCTCTTGGGGAGGGACAGGTCCCCTCCCTCTCAACACACACACACACACATTCCAAGCCTACTCCCAAGACAGACCCAGGGAGCAGGGGTAACTGACTGGCTTGTGTCCCTTCAGCTACGAAGCCGAGATGGCTCAGAATACCTGATCCAGCATGACTCAGAAGCCATCATCAGCACCTGGCACAAGGCTATAGCCAAAGGCATTGAGGAGCTGGTAGGTAGAGCCTGGGACCTCCAGGGCTGACTGAGAGGGACGTGGGCCTTTTATGCAGGACCCCAAGCTATGCACCCAGAACCTATGACACCAATGGAATGGTCCCATTTCTGCAAAAGCAGCCCATCTGCTGGTGAGAGGGGCTGTCCAGAGGCACATGAATCCTGCTCTGGGGCTGGTCTTGCAGAATTCCATGGGAGGGCACAGCCTCAACCCGAAGGAGCTTCTCATTATAAGGCAGGTGGAAAAGTACATAAGTACCCCGAGAACCAGACTCAGGCAGGGATGACAGCCCAAACTGGAAGATGAAGGGTCAACAGATTGAATTCAAGGCCTCGTGTCTGCTAGACAAGTGCTCTGCCGTCGAGCCATAGCCCTGGAAGTGTCAATCATGCACTGTGACTATATAGCTTAGTGACAGAGGACTTGCCCAGTATGCAAATGGTCCTGAGTCTGGTCCCCAGCTGTGAGAAGCAAAATCTACAGCTATTTAGATGGAAATGACCTCATAGTATTTGATTCTTGATTTCATATGAGTTAGCGCTGGATGCAGATTTTGATCGTCCTAATAGAAGCAGGAATCGAGATGCAGGAGGTATTGGTGCGATCAGCAATGCAGCAAGTTTATGAGTGAGAGCCAGTCCAGCGGGATGTAGAGAGTTGACTGATAACTGTGCGGAGGTCAGGAACTGGGAGGCTGCTGAAGACGGCCTGGATAAGAAAGAAAGAGAGAGGGCGGAATGACCTCGCAGCTCCTGGAGGACTCTGCAGCCAAGGAAGGTGGATGTTGATTCCGGAACTTTAACCTTCCTGGGATGTCTCCGGGCCAGAGCTGCTCAGGAGAGGCCCCAACTGGCCCCAGGCCTTGATTCTCTGAGGCTGTCTGATTCTAGTCCGCAGACCTGCTCCAGGGGGTGGAAGGTGAGCCCAGCAGTGCTGATTTCGGGTCCAGCGAGCGCCTCGGAAGCTGGAGGGAGGAGGATGTGCAGCAGAATGCAGGTGTGCAATGGGGTCCGGTGGGGGAGATAATCAGAGTCTCCTGGGGAAGGGGGGGGGTGATGCCCTGGCTGAGGATCTAGGGCCAATGCTATCAGTGCCACCTGCTGACTGAGTTCGGTCTGTGACAGCCTCACTTTCCCTGAGCCCTGGAGGCCTGGAGAGCGACTTGAGCAGGGTCCGGCACAAGCTCCGTAAATTCCTACAGAGAAGACCCACTCTGCAGTCTTTGCGGGAAAAGGCTACATCAAAGGTACCTGCGACTCGCCGGGATCCGGGCTCAGGTGGCACGGGGCTGGGCGGCGCTGACCAATCTCTCCCCTAGACCAGGTGTTTGGATGTGCGCTGGCTCAACTGTGTGAGCGCGAGAGGAGTCCCGTGCCACGCTTCGTGCAGCAATGCATCCGCACTGTCGAGGCCCGGGGTATGTACGCATGCACAGACAAGGCGAGCTCCATGGCCGGCTTCTAGGAGCAAAGGGTGGAGACCCCTGGGGGATTACAGGGTCAAGGAGAAGCAGATGGGCAAATCCTGAGTAGAAATTGCTAGGGTCCCTAGCCCTTCCAGGCTCAGCCATTCCCCTTCCCTCAGGGCTGGACATCGACGGGCTGTACCGCATCAGTGGGAACCTGGCCACCATCCAGAAACTGCGCTATAAGGTGGATCACGGTGAGGTTCTTCCCCAGTCCCTACTCTGGGGGCTGAAAGCACAAGTGGATGCTGACTGCTTCTCCCCACCCCCCTCCACCCCCCACCCCCCGGTCTCTCCCCACTGCAGATGAGCGCCTGGACCTGGATGACGGGCGCTGGGAGGATGTCCACGTGATTACGGGCGCATTGAAGCTCTTCTTCCGGGAGCTGCCAGAACCCCTCTTCCCCTTCTCGCACTTCCACCAGTTCATAGCAGCCATCAGTGAGCGGCTTAGGGAGAGGACGGGTGGGGAGGTTGGCCCGCCTTTGTCACAGCCAGCAGACTGTCACCTCTGGTTCCTTCCCTCACCCAGAGCTGCAGGACCCAGCCCAGCGCAGCCGCTGTGTACGTGACCTGGTGCGCACGCTGCCGGCTCCCAACCACGACACGCTCCGACTGCTCGTCCAGCACCTGTGCCGGTGAGCACGCCAAACTTCCCAGGGCCAAAAGGGAGGGCGCTGGTCGTGGCTGTGGCCCCTGTTGAAAGATTGCCCAGCCTCTGAGCTCTTGGTGCCACCGTTCCCACTGCAGGGTGATCGAGCATGGCGAGCAGAACCGTATGTCCGTGCAAAATGTGGCCATAGTGTTCGGGCCCACGCTGCTGCGGCCTGAGATGGAGGAGGCCAGCATGCCCATGACCATGGTGTTCCAGAACCAGGTGGTGGAGCTCATCCTACAGCAGTGCGCAGACATCTTCCCGCCGCACTGACTGCGGACCCTGGGTGGCTGGAGGCCATGAGGCTGGACCTCCTTTGAAGCTCTCCGCTTCCCACCCCGCTGCACTGTGACTTCTACACCCCTCGATTCAGAGGGTACGGTGACCGCCTTCATGACCCCAGTTCGTGAAATGTGATTTTTTTTCCCCTGCTGTATCCCTATTTGGGGTTCCTTAGCGCCCTTTCTTGATTACAGCGCCGCCTATTGTGCAAACACGAGAATGTTCCGGGGAGTCGGGGGCGGATGAGTGCTTCCTAGGGCCGCGGTTGGGAGGAGGGATTGGATGAAGGCATTCTGGTTTCCACATGCCTGCATCTGGCCAGGCCTTGATGGAGACTCTGTAGGCCCCGCGCTATGCAGGAGGTCCTGCGCTAGTCATGAAGCAGCTACTGACACTGTCCCTGCTCCCAGGGCAGGACTGACCCTGGCCGCCAGCCCAGGCCACTGACTGCTTTCTTCAGCCTTATGCTCCTGTGCCACCCTACTGCAGGCCACCTGCGGGCTTTTCCTCCGCGTTGCTCTCTCCCTGGACCACCTCTGTTCTCTCCATGTTCCTCATGCCCACCACATGCTTACCCCGCGCCCACTAAGCATGATTCCAGGGAACTGGGGCTTGCAGCAGAAGTCAAACGACTTCAGGTTCCAAAGGTGACCTAAATCCCTGCAAAGGCTCTCGCCACAGCAAACCCAGCCCCTAGAGGAAGAAGTGGTTCTTCGCCCCCTCTGCAGCACTGCAGATGGGCAGAGCAGAGCAAACAGCCAGGAGCACCCTGCATGGGCTGGGGGGGTGGGGGGGTGGAGGTTCCTTCAGGCAACAGGGAACCTACCACAGCTGTTCTGGGGGAAGAAAAACATCACAAATAGAAGCCCCCAGCCCCTGCCTGCACCCTGACTGAGTGCCTACCCGGTACTCACTTGCCATGCAGAGCTGGGAGGGGCCCACTGGAGAAAGGTCACAGCCTCGGGCACAGAGAGTTGAGCATGCGTCAGCTTCCCCCCTCCCCATGCACACACCACCTCAGTTTACGGATCTGAGCCCCTAGCTCCACCCACCCTCACTAACTCAACAAACGATAATAGCTAATATTTATTGAGCGTCCATACCATGCCAGCCCTTTACTCCGATTTCCCCCTTGGTTTCTTGCAGTCAATATTTATTGTGGGCCCTCGTGTGCTGGGCACTGTGTTCTGGGGCTTTCTGGAGCTTAGGGCCCAGTGAGTAAGGCTGAGACAAGCCCAGCCCCAATGCTAGCAGGCCCAAGAAGAGAACAAATGGAGGCCTCCCACCATACATCTACATATTTAAAGTCTTAAGGCAACCTAACAACTGTTAAATAAAATACGTTTATTCTCCTACTTTGGCGAGTGTACTTCAATAACGGCCTGCACCGATCTTCAGTCTGTCTACATCCCACCCCACTGTACAGCTAAGGCTGGCCTTGAACTCCTGACCATCCTGCCTCCGCCTCCCTGGTACTGACATTGCATCACCAGGACCAGCAGCCACCTTTTCCTAATTATTTGCCAAATGAAGGATCTCTGGGTTATGTCCTCTGGTTGTGACAGACACTACTGCACACGTGTGTCTGTGGCCATGCTGGCTTAGTTAGCTTGTGTTGCCATAACACGGCAGACCAAGCGGCTCGGTCAGTAGAAATGCATTTCTCACGAAGCTGGAGGCTGCATGTTCACGGTGAGGCTACAGCAGGGTAGGGTGGTGAGGACATCGTTAGCTTGCAGGCAGTGTTTTCTTGCTGTGTTCTCAAACGGCCGTGAAGCTAAAGGTCTGGTGCTTCCACACAAGGACTCCAATCCCCACATCAATCGCTTAAACTGTGGGGCTCCCCAAGGCCCCATTTCCAATCACGTAACATTGGGACTCTCGCTTCACTGTGACTCAGGGAGAGTGTGAGCTTCCGGTCCATAACTGGAGCTTCTCCCGTCCTCTTGGGTATTGCAGCTGTTGCTGGGTCCCTCCGTGATCCCCGCATATTACTTGTTGGGGACCTCCCCTGCCATCTTCATCAGCAGCTGTGCTTTCTCCCATCATTGGCTTTCAGGAACTCTCCTCACAGCCCAGTCTGCCTCTCTCCCTCTCACAGATGGCTGGCCTCTGCCCCCCAGCAATCATGGAAACACAGCAACCACAGTGAGCCCCAGAACAACCCTCCTCTCCTTAGCTCATCCCTGGGAATGGCGAGTTGCCTTTCTTTCCTAAACATGCCCACAGTTCTCCATGCTTCTCCCATATTGAGCTGCTGTGCCGAATTGAAATCACCAGGAAATAGAAGCAGAGAGATCAGCTTGGTGCCGACTGACCACTGCGAAGGGATAAAGGCTGCAAGACTGGGCCCCATGTGTAGACTCGGCCAAGCTCCCAGAAGCTCTGGGTGAGCTTATGCATTGTCCCTCCTGTGGCAAGAAGCCAGGTCTGCCGGCTGTTTAGTAACCACCCACATTGCCTGGTAGACAGCGCAGACCTGGGCATCTCCTTTCAGCTCTAGGCATATCCCAGAAGGTCAGATGAGAGCCATTGGTAACCACTCCTAACAAGCCCGACCTACACCTTGACTGATGCTTCAGTCAAGGAGGAGAGGAGGTTGTGGTACCCACAGTACTCACTACCCCCTCCCCCCCACACCATGGGAAGAAGCTCCAGTCACAGTCACCATTGGAAACCCTCCACCATACATCTCTCTAACCACAGCCATCCCCCCTCCTCAGAGACAGAAGTTTTAGTTTATTACATTGGTTTGTTCTCATACTGTATATGTGTGTTGAAGGTGCATGCATGCTACAGCATGTTTGTGTGGAGGTCAAAGGACAGCTTACACAAGGTGGTCCTTTCCTTCAGCATTGAGGTACAGGGGTTGTCAGGCTTGATGGCAAGAGGTGTCCATGTTCACTGTCCTCCACCCCTGCACGGCACAGACCACAGACCGTCCTGTGGATTCAGCAATACACCCATGGTGATAGACACTGTGCATCCCCAGGTTCAGTGACTTCCTGTGACATGCAGGCCTTCCTGGAAACATCTCTTCCTCTGTCCCTCATGTTCCTCCCTTCTCTAACCAAATATGGGAAGAAGGAATGCTCAGAGCAGACCCTTCTCCCTGTCCCCACTCCCAGAATGACACCCGCAGCATCAGTGATGTCTGCCCTGGGACAGACCTCAGACTAAGCCTAGGTTCATGGCTTTCCCCAAAGCGAGTCCCCCTCTAGGGTTTCTCTCCCAGGAAATGGCTCTGCCATCCCACAGGTGGACAGGTGGACAAGTTAAAACTTGGGGAAGATGGGAGGCTCCCTCCAGCCCATCTCTGCATCCTTGGCACATTCCTGACCAACTTTCCTCCCTCACCAGCCTTGTCTCAGGAGCAAACACCTGCCTGGACTACCACTTAGCCCCTTCTGCATCCCATGCACTGAGCCCCTCAAATTCAGCCTTGGTTTAATAACGCAGCCCTGATTATCTTATTGTCCCAACTTAAAACCTCAGATTTCAGTCCAGTGAGGTGCCTCATTGGGTAAAGGCGTCTACTGCCAAACTTGACCACTTAAGGAGGAAACTGAGTCTCAAAAGTTGCCCTTTGACCTCCACATGCATGGATACATAGTGAGACGATGTGTGTGGCTTGCCCGGCCCTGAACCTAGTACGGGGACATTTGTGAAGTCACATTAGTCTTTCTTCCCCAGTTCCTAGGCTAGCTTAGGTTCTGGAGAGTGACAGGCACAGCCTTAGCCATCATGTTGGGCCCCAAAGTCTTCTGATCCCAGGGCTCTAGAGCAGCCTTTTTCCAAGACCTCAGCCCAGCAGTGCCTCGGGAAAGGGACTCTTTATGGTTTGGAACAAGAGCATTTGTGGTAGCAGAGGTGGCCCTGTCAGACATAAGCAGAAGGGGACTCTTTGGATGGCAGGAGGGCTGGAAGGGAGCCTGCTCTCCTGGGGTGTCTGCTGCAGGCCTGGAGGGGTGAGGGAGCCTGTAGATTTTTTTATTATTATTATTGTTGTTGTTGTTGTAGTTGTTGTTACTAAGAAGTGGTGAAGGTGGAGGACCACCAACTTCATCCCTGCACTACTCAAATACACCACTAGGTGGAGATGATCAGAAGAACCTTGTGGCCAGGTCTCCTTCCAATGTTGTGTGGTAGGTACAGTGTTGAGACAGTCACATGACTGACCTGCAACTTGCTATATAGTCAATGGTAACCTTGAACTTCTGATCCTCCAGCTTCTACACCTCAAGTGCTGGGATCACAGGACACCAAGATCCTTTCTCCCCCTCCTCTCCCTCCAAGATGTATTTATTTTTATGTGTCTGTGTATCTGTGTGTGTGTGTGTGTGTGTGTGTGTGTAAGACGTGTGCAGGTGTGTGATGAAGAGGCCCGAAGAGAGCATTGAATCTCCTGGTGCTGAAGTTTCAGGCCATCATTAGCCTCCCACCCCACCATGCTATCTTCCACCCACATCAACCCTGGGAGGCGATGACTCCTTCCAGCCGGCTGTACTACGGGGCTCACCT